GATTCTATAATTCATTTCAAGGGTAACATTAAAACCGAGGTTTTTATTAAGAGAAGTTACATTTTTATTAACATGTTCCGTTAATACATGTACAAAGTTCAACAGTCTGTACCTTGTATTTGTAGTGTGTAATTTTTTAACGGATGAATTATACTTTTTCAAAATCAAAAATGGAATCTTGATCCAAACCTTACAGGCATCTGCATTAATAGTATTCACTAACAGCTTCGTTAAGTCACAAAAAAGGGAAGATTCTCCTTGCCTCCTGTCAACCAACTAATTCGGTGAGAAAAGGTAAAACAATAAATAAAAAATATACAATTATGACAAAAATGATTTTTAACGGATAATTGATCTACAAATATAAATCCTTATTTAGAAAGCTGCAGAGCAACAGTGCAAAAATCGGTCTATTGATGTGCGCACTGTATCCCCGGTCCGTGCATGTGCTCCTCATCATCACTCGCATACGCCTCCCCTCTGCTTCCGTGCGCCCCCTTGTCATTCGCCGAATCGAAATGATGCAAGTCGACTTCTTCCACATTTTCGCCTTCGGGCATTTTAAACGTGGGTCGCGGCGGCAGAATACTTTCCAAGGATTTGAGGGTCTTCTCGTCGGCGAAATTACTCTCAGGGAATGTGATTTCGAAAGTGATATAGAGATTCCCCTTCTCGAAGGGGTTCTTGTACATGGGCATTCCTTCACCCATCACTGCTTTCAAATCACCGGGCTTGACCACGTCCCCTGCTGGGTGTTTGATTAACAAATCGCGACCGTCCAATTGACGCAAAACGAAACTGAAGCCACACAGAGCCTCCGTTAGTGTGATTGTGCGATTCATGAGTAAGTCATCGCCGCTTCTTTGGAAAGTTTCGTGAGATTTCTCGTTAAGGATGATGATGACGTCGCCGGGTTCGATGTCGGGCTGCTGGTCACCCTCGCCACGGAAGAAGATCTTCTGGCCGTCTTTCATGCCTTTGTCGACGTGGACTTCGAGGATTTTCGTCTCGTTACAAACCTGAGCAGAGTAGCCCATTAAATAAAAAATTCATTATTAACTAAAGAACCAAATATGGCCCCACCTGCATCTATTTGACGCAAAAGAAGACAAATTATTGTACCCCGAAGAATTCCGAAAAAATTCCAGCAAATCCAACTCAATTTTCTTAATTACAAAATAATTTATGTAATTCAAAACTAATTCTAATAGTTCTAAGAAATTCGTTGTAATTTTAAAAGAAATTATCTCCGAAAATTCCAAAAATAATTCCAGTGTTCCTGAAAAAATGCACCGAAACGTAGTAATTCCAATAATATCTTGAAATTCCATTATTTTCAGATTAATTCCTAGAACTTCAAATCTATTCTTGTAATTTAAACCTAATTTCCGTATTTCAAAAAAGATAAGTAATTCCAGAAAAATTCCAAACAATCACAAGATAATTTTAATGATTTCAAGCAATTCCGAATAAATTCCAACAATTTACAACCAAAGTCCTCCCTAGTATTTGTTTCATCACTCAATTTTTTTTTTAATTAAAGGATAGAGTCCAAAATTTCTTATTGTCCATCGTTTTTCAAATTTTTGCAAAATTTAATTTAATTTATTTTTTTGGTGATTATGCTCCCTGTTTCTTTTTTTGCTGTTTGTTCTGTAAAAAACACACTTTTTCACATTCTGAAGACTTGGAAACATTGTGTAATAAAGCCAAATTATTAGGTTTTTTTTTACTAAGAACTAAGAAAGGAAACTATTTAATAGTTATTAATTATACAAGACGATAAAGAAATTGTTTATCTACGAGTGAAAAGGTTAAGTTTACGAGTGACGAAGTCACGAGTGGAATTTTTCATGAGTAGATAAACAATTTTTATCGTCGTGTACAATATTTCGTTTTATTTTGTACTCACCTACCAGAAATTCTTGAATATAAACAGTAAAAATAACTTTATTTCACTAGACGATAAAAGGCTACTTTATCTACTGAAATTAGTTGATAATAGTTATTTATTCGACGAGTTTGAGTGTAAATCGGACGCTTTATTTGACCGAGTGGATTTTTAAACCACGAGTGTAACAAGTGGTTTACCATCCACGAGGTGGAATAACGCGTCCGATTTACACTCAAACGAGTTGAATACAACATTTTATTCTTCGAATTAGACGCAACAAGGCTTAAACTTGCTTTAAATCTGTTAAAAATAATTTTACGTTTCGTATTGAGAAATGCCAAACAGTTGTCAAAACTTCCTAACACGGGAGAAAAACCGTAAATTTTGACAGTGTCGAAGAATAAAATTTATATCTTATCATCTAATTTACTGTTTAACTAAATACTGTTTATACAGTAGATAAAAATTATTTTATTTCACTAGACGATAAAAGACTACTTTATCTTTAACATTGAGTATAAAATAAAGGTTTTTTTCTAGTTAAACCTGACAATGTAGTGTTTCCCATTGATAGCATTTGTTTGAAGTGTTTTCGTTATTTACGTAAAGATGTTATTTTTTTCTCGATTACATAAGTAAATCATACTTTTTGCAATTAATATTAACTTCCAAATAATTTATTATTTTTCTAGTAGCGCGTTTTGTAAATGGACGACAAAAAAATAACCAGTAAGATAAGATAGCAAGGCCATTATAAAATTGTTTATTCTGCACTGTCAAAATTTATGGTTTTTCTCCCGTGTAAGAAAGTTTTGACAACTGTTTGACATTTCTCAAAACGAAACGTCAGATTATTTTTAAGAGATTAATTATTAAAGCAAATTTAAGCCTTATTGAGTCTAATTCGAAGAATAAAATGTTGTATTTAACTCGTTTGAGTGTAAATCGGACGAATTATTTCACCGAGTGGATTTTTATCCACGAATAAATAACTATTAAAAAATTCAATCTGTCAAAAATTTTTGACATTTAACATTTTTTTGTCTATTGTTACCGATGAGTTCGAAATTTTTATAGATATAATTTTTTTACATTTTTTAATGTTCTTGGTACAGTTGGAGACAAAATACTTTGGTCGTCACTTTTCTGACACTTTAATGTAATTCAAGCTTTAACGTTAAAATGAATGACAATTTCAAATTAATGACAACTATTATATCTTTCTATCAAAAATATGTACAACTTGTCAACTATGATTGACAGTAGCTAAAAATAAGGTTAACAGTCCTAAAGCATGCTTTACAATTTAATGTCACTCAAGTGACATTGACGACCAAAGTATTTTGTCTCCAACTGTATCTTGTCTTACTTGACTTTTTTTTGGTCTATTTACAAAACACCCTGTATCTTAATAAGATAAGTATAATAATAATAATTGCAGGTGGGGCTGTATTTAGTTTCTCTAGTTTAATACAATATTATTAGAGTTGCTTAACGTACAACGAGCGAAGCGAAGAGTGCTTCATTAAAAAAAAATACATCAGTTCTGCCTATGTTACGCAAAATTTTTCTCAATTTCTCCTTATATTTTAATAAGCAAAATTGTCGCTATTACAGGAATCAATATCAATAGCAACGTTTTTTTCATTGTTTAATTTTTAAATTAAAGGTTACTGACCCCAAGAATCAAATCTGACTATCAGCACATTAAATGATTTAAAATGAAAAAAAAAAAAAGGTCAAAACGTGAGATCTGATCAATTTCCGCTTCATGTAAATAGAGATTAAAATATTTATAGAAATGAAGAAAGTACGTGCCTTTACACATAACTAAGCACATTTCAAAAGACAATAAATCGGCACAAAAAAATTATAAACAGAGATTTGATTCTCACTTCATTTTAAAAACAGCTGATTTATAATAATGCGCTTGCGCCTTATAACAGTAAAGTGTATTGTCGTTATTTATCACTCATTAAAAATTTATTTCTGCGTGATTAATAAAACTTATGATGAAATATTAAGTCAGCATACAATTTTTTTTTTTACATTTTTAATTAAATGTACCTACCTTTTTGCCTTTGCACGTTGTGCACCTATCCTTCTCCTTGATCATCACCCCATCCCCGTGACAGTCTGAGCACTCCGACTGCACTTGCTGTGCCATTCCTGGTGCAATCTGGTGGTACGTCACTTTGAACCCCCGACCCTTGCACCCGGAGCACTGTTCGAAATTCTCGCTTCTGCCGCCTTTGCCGTTGCACGCGGCGCAAATAACGTTTTTGCTCAACTGCAATTTGGACGTTTTTCCGTTGTACAAGTCCTCAAGAGACACTTTAAGAGGATGGACGGTATCTTCTCCCTTGTGCCGTCTTCTGTGCGGAAACCCGCCGAAACCGCCAAACAGGCCGCCGCCGAACAGGTGCGAGAACAAGCTGTCGCCAGCGAAGCCGTCCTGCGCCCCCTCTTGCATGCCTTTGAGGCCATACTTGTCGTAGATCTGTCGTTTCTTGGGGTCAGACAGCACCTCGTACGCGTACGAGATCTCCTTGAACTTGTCACCGGCTTCGGGGTTCTTGTCCGGGTGGAATTCTTTCGCCAATTTCCGGTAATTCTGCACAGAAAAATCACAATGATTTGGCTAAATTGGTATCGGCCTTGACGGAAACGTCGACCTTGATGATTGGTGTAGCGAGTTTTGGGAAAGCTGCAGGGGGGTTTTAGGAGCCGCTGTGAAGCGAAATTTATGAGGTTACCTTTTTAATTTCGCTGTCTGAGGCGTTTCGGCCCACCCCTAGGGTTTCGTACAACTTGTTGTCTGCCATCTTTCTAAACAAGGAATGAAAGATGACAGCGCGCATGCGCCAGTCGGCAAAAACAGTACCGCCAACCCTGCACAAGGTCACCAAAAATAATTTTTAACACAAAAATCAATCATTAAAATTTGACCACCAATTAAACTCTTAACTGCAAATTAAAGTCAAAGGTTTTTTACCTAAATAATAAGCTTCTGTAATTTGAAAACACTAAAAAGTAGTGAAATCAATCTTGTAAACTTGACACATACTTCACGTAACTAAAAAAGTGCGGGAAATTGAAACTTGGATAAAACAAGTATTTTTTATTTCAAATTATCGCAGATTATTTACAGGGTTTGAGAAAATGAAGGGCAATGCTATAAAAACTGTACAAGAAAATGGACTACATGTGGGGTTTGGGGAAAAACAAGTAGTTTGAGTTCCTGTAAAAATTTAAAACCGGTCAAATTTTGTGTATTCTTTTTGTCGGTCTAAATTTCGTTTTTATTTTATAACCGAAACGAGTATCTAATTTAACGTGTGTTCCTCAGTTCCAGCATGTAGTAATTAGGAATAACACATGCGAAAAAAAGTCATTTTACACATTTCTCTAGAATCTAACAATAACACTATTTTAAAAAGCATTATGCTACAAATTCGGGAAATCACACAAAATCAGTTTGTTTTTCCAGTGGCGTGATGCGACAAAAACAATTTATTGCACTAGAAACGCTTATAAAACCTTAGCAAAAATCGAAAAGTATACTCGAATATACCTGAGGTAGTACAATTCAGTTTGTGACAAAGTAAAAATACCGTATGATCAAAGAAACTGTGTAATCCCGGCTGGCCCTGAAAGCCAATTTTTTTGATCATACAGTACACTGAAAAAGGACACCAAGCTACAAATTTATTTTTCAATTTTTTCTTTATCAAAACGCTGGAAGACTTCTAACAAACAAAAAACAAACGTCTGAGCGAGCACAATAATAAATAAATAAACAAAAATAAAGTACATATAATATATAAAATGAAGTGTATGATATGTAGCAGACTAAAATAATTTACACAATAAAAAAAATGTAAATCGGTGACGATCAGAGTATTCTCTTCCACATGTACAAGCATTAAGTAAAATAGTCCTCACTATGTTGTAAATTACAATATAAATTTAAAAACTAATATTAAAAATCACTATGAACCAAGTCTTCTTTGTTACATTTTTTCAATATACCACAGTACAATTTCACTTTTTATTTGTTGGCAACGATCTTGCAATAAAGCTGCTCACTTATAAATAATCGTATAATATCATTCTCCATTTAGTTAAAATCAGCTGTCTTAAATTAGTACGGAATAGTGTTACCAACGTCGTAGAAAACGCTAATAAACTTTTAGACAACTGTAATGTAAAAAATAAAAATGTTACCACCACAAAAATTCCGCTTGTAGATAACAGATCGTAATATTGTAAGAATCATGACATTAAAGTCGTTGACGTTGCAGTGTTATTGAGTTTTCCGTCATGAAATAACAAATATTTCCAAAATTATAGTTGACATTATAAAGATTGTTTTTAAGGACCTCCTTCATCGAGCCCTGAATATGTAAATTAATAAACAAAAAAATGTAATGGTTTCCGTGCTAGACATACGAAATCTGGTAAAATTAAGAGTAAATTTTTTTACATAAAAAAAGTACGTTTCAAAAATTATTTTTAATAATATTTTTCCTAAGACCCCTATTATGTTCATATAATGAAAAATGGGCAAAACCGCCGTTATTACAAATCAATAACTAAAATATAAATAAAACCAAACCTTCGTTTAAAAAAATATCACAAACCAGCGACCTGTTATCTACACTTCCCCTGCCTGACACCCCCATTACCGTTACCAACAAATAACCTCTCACCCTCCAACCTACCGTATAAAACACGTACGACAGAGTCTATTCGGCCCGATACAGTCATCATGACAAAACGCCCCGCACTTTTTACAAACCACCATCGCTTTCAAACTGCACGCGCAATTGTCCATCCGCTTCTGCATCGGCATTTGGGGCTGCATCGCCGCCCCCGGATGGTCAACCATCACATTCTCCCCCCCGATGATCGTGTAATTGTGCATTGGATTCTCGACGCTCACGTCGCCGTACACCACACCTGAGGGCAGTCTCTGTCTGCGGGTGACCGCTTGCGTCCCGGGATTCGGACACTGAACGATAAAATCGTTCGATTGCGGCGGCTGAGGCGGCTGGGGGCCCCCTTGTTGCAGGATGGGATGGTCGGCGTCGACGCTAGCGGGACGCCCGCGCGCCCCCACCGACACAATCTGCGTGTTGATCGCGGTGGGGAGTTGTTGGTGAGACGGCGGGGCGCTCGAGGATCGCGGGATGTTGTGGTGGTCGCCGACGCCGGCGCGCTGCACCAGAATGTACTGACCGACGGCGCCCATGGGGTTCGGGGCTTCAACCACCTATTAAACAAACCCATTAATATTAAAATAAACGAAATTACCCCCAAACCCGTGTTAGTAGAGTTATACAGGGTGTTCCATATTTATTGTTACAAATTTAAACAGGTGATAGGATATTCAATTCTAAGACAAAAGTTTCCTATAAACATGTATCGAAAAATGCTTGGTAAGGGAGCTACACTAATAGGTTTTTGCTAATATTTCAGAAACCATTTAAGATAAAATTATAAAATTTGGTACAGATGATAACCTTTATACACCTAAACGAATTCAAAAATCAAATGTCGAAATTTTTAATCAGGGGCGTCCGAAACTGGTGGGGTTTAGGGTAAAAAAATACCCTATCTATTTTGGCTTTAGTTTCTTTAGTTATGCATTGACCAAAATGGTGGTCACTTTGAACAACTCCTTTAGATTTAGGCAAATTCATTTAATTAATGTTATTATTGTTACTGTAATGTAATGTTAATTAGTTGAGGTTGATTAAAAAATATGAATTTCCTGCTTTTATTATTCTGTAAATTCTGATTTATTTGAATGTTGTATTGGTGTGTAACATAAATTTTAAATTAATTTTATTCAAAAACAATAAGTCGTATCGACACAAAAGAGACTTTAATTTAAGATTTTGTTGCTGAAAGTACCGAGAAACTAAAGCCAAAATAAATAGGGTATTTTTTACCTTAAACTCCCCCAGTTTCGTACGCCCCTGATTAAAAATTTCGACATTTGATGATTGAATTCGTTTAGGTGTATAAAGGTTATCATCTGTACCACATTTTGTAATATTATCTTAAATGGTTTCTGAAATATCAGCAAAAACATATTAGCCCCTTTCCAGGGGGTGTAGCTCCCTTACCAAGAAGTTTTCGATACATGTTTATAGGAAACTTTTGTCTTAGAATTGAATATCCTATCATCTGTTTAAATTTGTAACAATAAAAACGGAACAACCTGTATTTACTCACTCACTTCAGGACTTAAGGCAGGAGGTTGAGGAAGCACAGCCATGGTGACAGGAATTCCCTGTCCTGATGTGAACACGTGGCGCACCACCACTGGTGGACTCGGTTGCCTCTGCTGCTGGTAGGGAACAGATCTAGCCTTCTGTCCTACGTTTTTGACACCATTATTTTGCACCATTTGAAAGTTACCACTGGCGGGTAATGGGGGCGTAAACGTCTTGGTTGAACCACGAGACGATGTCACCGAACTGTACTGAGTTTGTCTATTGTTTTCATTCTTTTTTACAGTGTTGCTAGTTGCGGCGGCGGCAAGAAGAGACGGAGGTGGCTTCAATTGACACCTGAAAAACAATCTTAAGTTTCTGTAACAAACTTGACCACAATTTACCTAAGTTGATCTCTATTGGGGCTATTTTGAATAACCGCTTGACATATCTGATAACTCCTTTCCAAATTAACAGCTCCCGGAGGTGGCTTATTGCTCCCTCTGTTTCGATTCGAACTGCTAGTTTGTGAATTCTTCGGTTTAGATTTAGTATGGGCTGGTACGGCCCTGATTGGTTGACTCGTACTCAAAGCCAGATAGGGTAAAGCACTTGAACTTTGTACCATACCAGGCCTCGGTAAAGTAGGACACTGCGTTTCATTAACTGGGGGATTCACCAACGACGCAGTACTAACAACCGAAGGTAAACAAACTATAGTAGTCGGTGGAATCACAGTCGTTACTGTTTTACTAACAGAGGGCGTAACAGTCGAATTCGTCCCATTACTCGAACTCACTGTACTAGTTATAAGACTATCGTTACTAATAATTTCCGGTGTTAGAGTCACTTCCAGTTCCAGTTTGACTTGATTTCCGGTGAATTCCTGGTAGTTTTGGTTCGGTTTATTGTTTGTGGAGGCGTTGGTATCGCTCGCGGTGGTTCCCAAAGCAGCAGCTACCATTTCCGAATCCATTTTGACATCGTAAGGCCAGTCATTCGGTACGGGGAAATTTCCTTGTTCCAATCTCACTTCGAGTTCTTCTTGCATCGGAATGACTTCAACGTGTTCGGTGGGATTCTCTTGGCCTACGATACCAGCAGGAACGGATTCTAACGCGTGCAAAGGCACTTCTAGAAGCTTCTCGGTACTCGAATCGACTAAATTCCAACAGCAGCCTTCTGTTGGCGCTGAAAACATTTAAGGGCGATTTAGATTGTGGAAACAATCGGCGTTGAATGTGCGATAATGAACGTGGTGTTTGACTTTTGCAGACTCGACACAATTGATAAGTTATAAATCGTGACGGATTTCAGACCACCAACTGAGACAAAAAAAATAACAACCACTATTTGTTTTTTAAATTCTCGTATCACTGGATTTTTAATTAAAAAGTTTAATGTGACTGGTTAGTCCCACGCATTAAACCACAAATTGCAGTTTCAGATGAACGATTATCATCAAAGTTTTCGGTACAACACAGAAAATTTAGTCAAGTGGAAATTATTGTACAAATCGATCCGTTAAATAAATAAAACTCTGGATAAATAAAGCACTAGATTTTGTTGCTCATCTGCATAATAACTAAAAAAAGGTTAAATAACAATAAACTTTTGCTTACCATACTCAAGCTAAATCTTAATTTCTTACACCAACCACAAGAACTCCATTGATCACAATAGTACATAAATACATATTTATATGCTATGGTAAATATAATTTTTAAATTCAAATTTTCATTGTGACTTCTACCCTTAATGTTACGGAAATTTATCAACATAATCATTTAAATTTGAAATCCAGTAACATTACAGTGTTTTAAAATCTATAAATATTTGAAACCAAATCTCACCTTGGGCTGCATCATTGCCAAACAGCGTCGCCTGTATATCGACCTCAGTGGCCTCTTTCTCCTTATCGGCCTCTTGAACCGTAATTTGTCCCGATTCTAACACATAATTCTCGGCATCGATAAACCTATCCTCATTCGCATCATCATCTGCGATATTCCTCACACTTTCGAAATTGCTTTCGGTCAATTGCGCCATCACCAAATCGGATTCCTCCACACTCGCTTCGAGCTTCTCCGCCGAGTCCTCCAGACACAATGCGGCGTCGCACAGCTCCGAACACGACGTCTTCTCCAAAACAATCGACTCCTGCTGCAAAATAAGCGAATTGGGAAGAATAGGAAACGAGTCCTCTATCAAGTTTTGCGCGGGGTTCTCCTCATCATCCTCGTCGATCTTCGAGTCGGTTTTGGGCTCTTCGTCTTGACTCTCGTCGACTTTTTCGTCGGTGGTGGCGGTCGAGGAAGAGTCCTCGCTTTTGGGCTCTTCCTCGTCTTTGGTATCGCTTTCGGAGATCGAGCTATCGACGGAGTTTTCGTCTGATGTTTTCGAGTCGATATTACAGGGCTCTGTAGTTTCTTTCGTTTCGTCAGGAAAGAGATTTGGCGATCTGCGTTTCGGCGACTTTTCGATGGATTCAACACTGTGAGATCTCCGGCGCTTTTCCGCTTTTTTATTATTGTTACTACAAGTAATGATTGTCTCTTCGTCGGTTTGAAGAATAGTTTTGCTTATGTTTATTATACAGTTTTCTTGTTTTTCGGCATGAGTTTCGCTGAGATCTTCGATTATTGGTTTGGGTTCTTCCTTAGGCGCTTGGTTTCGGACCGATTTAATCGGTAACAAATCAGGAATTGGAGTCTTTACCGGTTCCTGATTTGTTATTTCAGATTCTTTCAGGCTTGTGCAGGATCTAGTCATCGCTCCTACGGTTCGTAGTCGTTTGACAGGTGGCGCTACTTTCGATTTATTGCTGCTGACTGTGGTGGTGGGTCTTAATTTTATTGTGGTTTTTATAGGGGGTCTTGCTGGGGCTGTTGCTGGAGGTGTGTTGAAACTTTGGAGAGGTTCAGTTTGACTCCTATCTCCCCAAATTGGTTCAAAGTGTTTCAACTTCCAAGGATCTAGTTTACTGCGCTCTTTGTCAGCTTCCAGTTTCAATTTTTGTTGATTTTCTGGAGTAAATTCGCCTTCAGCTAGCCGATCCTGCCATTCAACACACGCCCTCGCAAAAAATTCGTTATTTAATCCGGAATTGCTGAGTTCAAGGGAATCTGAAGAATTTGTTACACTATTTCGATCAACGTCTGGTAATAATTGCACTAATTTGTTTTGGTATAAAAGGGGTAGAGAGGCAAAGGTCGCTTTGTTGAGTAATAGTCTTAAGTTTGTGTTGACAAGGATTGAGTCTGGAGTTTCCAAATCGATGCAGCCCTCTTTGGTTTGTTCCAATTGAGCTGCAGTTGAAAGTTTCTTATTGGTGCGTCTTCTAGGTTTCATGGTGAAGCCAGGAATCGACGCTAGGACTTCCCTCATCGTGGGGGTTTTGACAGAAGCCGGGGGCACCTCCTCGGGAGGCTGTGGGGGCAACGGTTTCACTATTATCCTAGGTACTGTAGACGTATTCCCAGACGCAATCGTAGTGTTCTTTTTCCTGCGTTTGGCCTGCTGTCGCAACGCAAGCTTGATAGCTTTCTTGCTCTTGGTCGGCTCGGGGGCCGTTTTTTCGGCGACTTTTTCGACATTTTCTTCCTCGCCTTGACTCGAAGCACCGTCACTTTTTTCTGAACTCGCTTCGGGTGTAACGTCTATTTCCATCACGCAACTTAACAGTTGAGGACATTAAAGTTTACTTGAGCAGATTTTTGCGACTTCTGTGTGAAAGACGAGCGATTTTTCGGGCTCCAATTCACCCCATATTACGGTCAATTTCGATACGCGTCCGGGTCACGACGGGACCGCTCCCTCATCGCCGAATAATTCGCCATTCATTTACAAAGTGGTGTGAGGCGACAATCTTAGTCTTTTTGTTTAAAAGCACTCGTTCTTTGACAATAAAACACCATCCGCCATTTCATAACCGGGCCTAATATAAACAGGATTTTCGAACCGCCAGGTTGGCGACTCTTGTCTGCAACTTGCAACCAAACCAGTGCCAACGTTCAAATTTCCCCATTCTATTTTATGAAATATCTATAACACGTAAAACAGCTACAATTAAAACACCTAAACATTGTAAAATAATGCTAAAACGAATTATTTTGTTTTTAAGTACTATTTTAGTAATCAATTCGTAATTGAGCATTGGAAAATATATTGCTGTAAGGTTGGTAACGCAACAACTAATCGAAATTTTGAGTAAAATAAGTTTTTCTTTTGTTAAAAATATAAGTTAGGTGAGGAACAATTAATTAAAATCTTTAATAAAATTAATAAAACCTGGTTGCATATTCAACATGATTGAATCTGCAACCGCTGCAACCATAAAAGCATCCTTCAAAGTTTGACAGTTCGGTTCCTTATCGGGAAAAAATGTGTTTGCAACTGTTATTTCACCGCTTAGAACAACAATCGAATTAAAACCATGTAATAGTAAAGTAGTTGTCTGCAACCAAATCCACAAAAGACGTAACGGTGCCGTAAGCCCCCATCTGGTGGCTGCAGACGCAAGTGCCGGCTAAAACAAGGCGTTCACTAGTGGGTGTTTGAGTCGCTTACCTCTGTTTATCTAAAATCCGCTTATCAGTGTGGACACAAAGGTGATAAAATGAACTACTCGTCTTGCAGATAACGTCGCGTCGACCCGATGGACGCACGTTAAGGGGCCCCCAAAAGCGCCGCCATGGGCAACAAGAACAGCTGCTGCTCGTACTCCAGCCCGCAGACCAGCCATCGCGTCATCATCCCCATCGAAGACACGCTGAATGAGGGCGAGGTTAGTGTCAGTAACCTGCAGCATATCAGTGAGCGGGAAGCCGACGACGGCGACGCCGACCCCTCGCAGGACCCCACAGCCAAGACCATCTTCATCGAGCGCTCCAAGACGGCCATCGAGAATGGCATGATCCGCAGGAAGAGCCAGCACCAGATCGCCGATTTGCGCCCCCTGAAGAAAAGCAGCTCCTGTTCGACGATCTATCTGGACGACAGCACAGTCTCGCAGCCCAACTTGAAGAACACGGTCAAGTGTGTGGCCTTGGCGATTTATTACCACATCAAAAATAGGGATTCGCAAAGGGAGATTGATATTTTCGATGAGAAGATGCATCCGCTTACGAGGGATGGGGTCAGTGACGATTATGACAAGCATAATCCGGAACATCGACAGATTTACAAGTTTGTGAGGACTTTGTTCAATGCTGCTCAACTGACTGCTGAGTGTGCCATTATTACTCTAGTGTATTTAGAACGGCTGTTGACATATGCAGAGTTAGATATACAACCTTCCAACTGGAAAAGAATAGTCTTAGGTAGGTATACACCGCTAGATTCTTCTGTTTTTGTTAATTAATTAGTAGAAGGCAAGTCAAGTAACTGTTACGAGCCGCGTAGCGGCGAGTTGCGTAATAAACGATTGCTTGAATTTTGAATGACTTTTATACGATTTTTTCTATTTTGCGCTTTTTGAAAGCAATTTACATCCAACGGCATTGTTATCAACACTAAAAACATAAAATACACTGGACTTTGAAAAGCTGTTAACGCACCCAAACAAGTTATTACAGATGAAAAAAAAATAGTTATTTACAGTCAAATTCAAAAAAAGTGGTAGTCAGTGTCACATTTTGACATAAAATTAATTATTCTTCTGTAAATGAACGTATACTCTTTTTCATATTACTGTGCATCAAGTAGGTTGTAGAACTCTAAATACATCTTAAATTTAAAGGCCGATTCACACAAAAAGTGTCATTAATGTCATTCAGAACAAATTTAATCACATCAATAATGACAAAAATATTTATGTTTGCTACTCTGTGTTAATTACGTTGTTAATTTTAATTACTTTTTGCTACCTGGGGTCCACATTTATTTGAAAAAATTATTTTTACGGAAGATTAAGGTTAGGATTGTTTAAATTTTTGCATGGTTGCCATCTTAAAATGATCCCTTTCAACGACTACTTCGATGCATATTAATATAAAAACGAGTACACTTAAATTACTTGGCATCATAAAGCATCAAATCAGTTTTGTTGTCAAAATGTAAATTATTTATTATTTATTAATTTTTGAAATGACATGACCACTTTTTTCTAAAGTTGACTGTATATCGGGTGCGGCAACCGTTACGCCCAGAAAGAAAATCCCCACTTCTAATTAAATAAAATTGTTGAATTTTTTCAAACTTACCTGGGCATTAGTAAGGTACATTCTGTAATTTTTTGGTAATTTTTCATTTACAAAAAAAATAAATAAAAAGTAATTTTCTCCCAAAAAGTTTAATTTTAATATTTATACTAACCTACGCAGATTCACTTCCTACAATTGTTTACAAAATCAGAAAAAAAATGCCAATTAGATTTTGAATTAAACGCAATTTTCCATCTTAATTTTGAAAATAATTTTTATTTATGACCTGCTACTTGTGCCATCGTAAATTTAGGTGACAATGGGGAACTGCAATTGGGGTAAGATTCCAAGGTTTACAACAAAAAGACCCTTTAAAGCGGTCGACTACCAGTAAATGATTCTTTTGTTGGCAAATTATACCATTTTGTCATAAATCAGGAGTCTGGTTTGTGTTTAAATAAAAAAAAGCGATTATTTGATTAACCAAGTCAAAATTTGAAATTGTGATATTAAAGTTTGATGCGCTGACAGGTACAGATTCATTTAGTGTAAAAACTTTATAGGTAAATTAACAGAAAGTATTCATAAAACACACAAAACGGACTCATTTATTATCCAAAAAAATTAGAAAAATTCTCAAATTATACCCTATCAATAATTAGTTAGGTATATGAAATATCGCCAGTTTTAATTAATTAAAAGTCGCGATTTATCAATGGGCGTAACCGATGCCGCACCCGGTATATCAAGAGAATAAACAACTATTTTAATATCGAGAATGTAGATGCATACAAAACTATTAACAACTTAAGAAAATGTTAAATTTGTCAAATGTCGAATAGTTTGTCAAAGTTTTCAGTTCATTCAATTGCACAATTTTAAAAGTAAAAATCGTTTTTTTTTTGTTTCCAAGGGAATAAAGTACCAGATTATTAGTCAAAAACGAGGGAATAAAGCGTTACTTTATTTTGCGTTGGGAGGAAAATTCATTTATTAGCATTTTATTTTAGATTATGAGTACATATTAATATTTATATTGAATTTATTTTGTATAATGTACTTAACAGGATGAGCATAATTTATTTGTTTGCATAGATTGGGGGCATTTAGGTCATTACAACTCAAACTCTCCAATGTCATGGCCTACTTAAGTTTATTTACCAAACTTTTTACATTCAATAAAATGTAACGTTAAAAAATGAAATTGGGAATAATTTTGTTCATAGAAAAAATGTATTATTTTTTAAATGCGACACCACGTAGATTTTTTATGGGAGGCCATAAAAGGCACGTTTTCAAAAAAAAAAAAAGATTTCTGTTTGATTGCGTTATTTATTTAATAATTCATACACGTGCAAAGTAACCGCATTGAAATCCCTTACACTTGAGTTGAATTAAGAAATAGCTTCCATTTTGATAACAAATATTTTTGCTTTAATCTTGAGTAGTATTTTATAACTTAAAACCCTGAATTTTGCAATTGAGGCGCCAGGCAGTATTTTCTGAGATAATTTCAAACAAGTTTTAATTTTTTGTGGAAATGCCGCCTACAGTCATAAGTTCTGAGAAGTTCTGAATCAACTACATTTAGTGGAATTAATCTTACTTCTGATGTGTTTTTATTAAAATTAAAATCATTTGAGAGAAAATCAAAGTTGAGACTAATAAACAATGTCACTGATCAATCCTTTGAAAATAGGATATCATTGGATAATATTGACATTGACACGAACGCTTATAATATCGGTCGTTATGGAGATAATCTAATTATGTAACAACTTGCATATTATGTTAATATTTTTATGTGTAATTTGCTGGATGACTATTGGGATTTTTTTGCAGGTGCAATCCTCTTAGCTTCCAAAGTATGGGATGACCAAGCCGTGTGGAACGTAGACTACTGCCAAATCCTCAAAGACATAACAGTAGAGGACATGAACGAATTAGAACGTCAGTTTCTCGAGTTGCTCCAATTTAACATAAATGTCCCTTCAAGCGTATACGCAAAATACTACTTCGATCTACGTACCTTAGCAGAAGCGAACGATTTGACGTTTCCTAGCGAACCATTAAGTAAAGATAGAGCTCAGAAATTAGAAGCCATGTCCAGAGTAATGGAAGATAAATATACAACGGAAGCGATCAAAAACGGACTGAAAAAATGGTCCAGTTTAGATAATATAACGAACGGTGGGACTGCGGCGAGGAGAAGCGTCGCCATTTTGTCGTGATCAAAAAGAATTTTTTATTTTTTAAGAGATCTACCAAAGTATTTCTAGTGGAAGTTTTTAATATTCTTTTTTCTTAGATCTTTTTATTTCCGATTCATATTTATTATATTGATGCTTTTGTGTTTGACTTATTTATTACCGGCAACTCACTCAATTATGTTACGTAATTTAATGGAAAAAAGCCTAATTGACTGTATTTACTTATTATACTTATGTTATATGTTATTGTTTTGTTTCTGTTGCAGTGTGTCACGTGACAGATGGCGATTTGATTGTGATGCACTGCCAAATCAAATGCCAACTTGTATATAAAAAAATAGTGATTTAAACTTTCCATTCCAGAATAAAAGTATGTCAGGGAGAGTGTTTATCCATAAATGAAGATGAGATTATATTTAAAATTGCACAACCCTGCTTTTAATACACGTCCACTATATGAAATAAGTGATTTTTGATAATTATGTTGAAGGACAATCCTGTAATATGATGCCTATTTTCAATTTTTATACTATACCAGGCTTTGTCTAGAAAAAGTGAAAATATACCTGTAAAAAAACTATTCCTGATTGTGCGTTTTTACCCAAAGCCCCGCATGTGGATACGCCACTGGAAAAAATAACAACAATATTCAAAAACATAAAGATGGTTCACCCAACTCACCTCACATTAAAAAAAAAATCCAACAATCGGTAATTTTCATTACCAAATGGGCGAAAATTCATACAGTGTTGACAATTTTGAACGTGAAATGTCAAACTGTGGCGGATATCTGGTACTCATTTTGAGTCTTTATAAAGAAAATTTAAATTTGTACATTAAGGAGTTTACTAATTGTGTATTATTTGAAATGCTAAATAGAGATTCTATTAAAAATATGCGAATTTGGCTATTGTTTTGTTGACTTTTTCAATTTTATTAGTTAAGAAGGATGGTGCTTTGACTAACTTAGTCAGCCCATAAACATGGCCGCCGCGTTTTTGTGATTTTGACGTTGTGACGGGTCAAGTAATTTCAAATAATTTTATAATTTCTGGAAATAATTTGTTATAGTTTCTTTGTAATCTTATATAAACCAGGTAAGTTAAGAAAATTACACAAGATTTAAATGACACATCTGTTTAAAGTTACAATAAGAAATTCATCCAATTATCAGATTTATGCAGACAGACAAGATTAGTCATTAATTACACCGTATTTTCACCAGTTTACTTCCTTTATCTTGTGTTTTGTCGAATCTATTTCACAATAAATCGCTCCTGATAGTTTCCTTTATGTGACAACTGTTTTTGTTTACAGCAAAAATGTCAGCTGGACCGTACAATTACTCCTACATCTTCAAATACATAATAATCGGAGACATGGGGGTGGGCAAGTCGTGTCTCCTCCACCAATTCACCGAGAAAAAGTGTAAGTCCCCACCTGGCCCCCTTATTCGTTCTTGACGTTGTTCTCGTTCCAGTCATGGCCGATTGCCCCCACACAATTGGAGTCGAGTTCGGCACTCGCATTATCGAAGTCTCCGGCCAGAAAATCAAATTGCAGATTTGGGACACGGCGGGGCAGGAAAGGTTCCGAGCCGTCACACGGTCGTACTATCGAGGGGCTGCTGGGGCCCTCATGGTCTACGACATCACACGTCGGTCCACTTACAACCATCTAAGTAGCTGGCTTACGGACACAAGGAACTTGACCAATCCTAGTACTGTTATTTTCCTCATCGGGAATAAGTGCGATTTGGAGGGCCAAAGGGATGTTACTTACGAGGAGGCTAGCAAATTTGCTGAGGAAAATGGCCTGATGTTCGTTGAAGCCAGCGCTAAGACGTAAGGGGCTTTTCATACAGATGACACCCACGCAAATTTCATAATACGAAATAGTTTCAAATTTTAAACATTTTTTTCACAATTTCTCATTCTTGTTTGTTTTTGAGTTGTGTGGGAAAAGCGAATTTGAAGTTTTGAAGTTTTGCGGATTTACACTCCCATCAAGTTGTAAAAGTGAAACAAAATATTCATATTTAAAAACTGGAGATTTTTATTTAATACATTGATAAAAAGAAGGTTTGGAATCCTTATCTTTAATTGTGTTTTAATTAAATTAGTAATTTGCTACTGGAGCAATTATTTAGACTTGGATGGTAATATTGAATCGGTCTAAAATGTAGAAATTTTAAATTTCCGTTATAGGAAGTAGCAAAAAATATTAGTTAATAATTTTTTACTAGAATCTAGATAAGAAGTAAACATTAAATACTAAATTAAAAAAACTAAATATTTCACGATTGAAATATTGCAAATTTGTCATGCATATTAATTAATAAGGCTCGGATTATATGCAAAATGCATATTTGTTATTAAGAAGTATATAAACAAAATTGTAAGTTTATGCATATCTAATGTTTTTTTATTAAAATAAGCCAAATAAAAAATGCATATTTTGCATATTTTGGGAACTTGGTGCATTTTTTTTGGAAATATTGCATATTTGTGTATACAGGGTGCGTCAGAACTCGCGGCCCAGAAAAAAATGCCATATAAAGTAAGATACCAGGAATATGGAAAAAAAAAATTCGAAGTTATGAGGGTTTAAATTTTGCACTTTGACTCTATTTCTGTTGGAAAAATAATTTTTCAAGTTTTTTTGCTACAGGCTATTAGAAGAGGAAGTTGTATACTAAGTTATAATTCTGTTCAATGTTATTTGTGGCTTTTATTGGCAAAATTTTTGTACCTTTACTAAATAATTGTAAAAAAAACATATACAAGATCATCAGTATCATTAAATACCTAAATTTCCAAAAAATAATAATCAATATAAATTAAAGTAATATAAAAAAAAGATCTTATTTTTATAACATGTTAGACACATTTGAAAGTAATTTCTTTTATCTTCATTAAGACTCATTTTGAGATAGAATTTTACTGTGTTCGAGTAGTAAATGTGACTACTAATGTAACATCAGAGGAAAAACTTTCCTTTTATATTTTTCAAATCATTTTTCAAAGAAATCACTCAATTAAAAATTTAAAATCCTTCAGTTATTTTTTAAGTTGTAGCTTTGAAAAAGTTATTATCGAATACTTAAAAAATAAATCTTTCATCACTATATAAAGTGGTTTCCAATTAGAGATCATTTTGCTTAAAAATTCTATTTGAGTTTCCAGTTTTAAAAATTTTAAAGTAAACGGCTTATTAAATGTTAATTGCAGTCCGATGTAATGTTTCAAATTAATTATTTATATACATTTGTCTTGAAAATCAAATTTGGTTTTAGTAAAATTTCACATCATGATGAAAAAAGCACGATTCTCACTAAAACAAAGTTGTTTGAAGAGAGGAAACCAAAAAATGATATCGTAAATACATAAAAATTAGTTTGTGATTATTAAGGCTCGGATTATATGCAAAATGCATATTTGTTATTAAAAGATACATCATCAAAATTGTAAGTTTTCTATGCATATCTAATTTTTAATTAAAATAAGCCAAATAAAAATGCCTATTTTGCATATTTTGGCAACTTGGTGCATATTTTAGGAAATATTGCATATTTGTGCATATTTTCTTCAAATCACTAATTTCCGATTAAAAATTTCAGTTCAAGTTAAAAATTGGACAGTTTAAATGAAACGATTACAAAATATTTTAAGGAGAAAACAACCGGTAATTCGTAAAAATTAGTACCCTGCTGAGTGTTTCCTTTTTAAATTGTATTGAACCAAGCGGTTTTTTTTTAATCATTTGTTTCAAAAAAATAATAATTAATATAAAATATGATTTTATTTTAAGAACAAAATTTTGTTTTGTTTTTGAGTTATTCGATTTTTGTTGTCTAAATTGGGATATATGTAAAAAAAATAATTTAATATAAAGTAGATAGTTGTAATCTCTTAAATCTTAAATCATAACCTTCATGAGAAAAATGTTTTTTTTTTGGTGGGTTGCCATTTAAAAAAATAAATATTTTTGTAGAACTCAAAAACAAAATAATAAAAATTTCGAAAAATTTTATTTTTGATAAAACATCGCATTTTTATAGAACTTTATAATTCATTAATTAGTTTTTTCAAGAAATAAATACTTGAAGCAAAAAACGTTTGGTTCCATAGTTTCTATCACCTGCTATAAAACGAATAAATATTCCAAGCGGATAAGTAGTTGCCTCCAAATGAATTTTAGCAAAATTGTTTAAAGTGATTTCTTAGAATGGGTTAATTACAAGGTTATTAAAATGGCTTGTCTCACGCCAAACCAATTTATTTATTCTTTCATTTATCGTGTGCATTCGAGGATACAAATTTATCCCAACTTTGATTTTTTATTGTTAAAAATTTTGCATATCTATGTTTTATCCATATTTTTGTGAAAATACGTGCATATATATTTTACGAATTTTTCGTGCATATAATCCGAGCCTTATTAATTAAATAAGTTAAAAATGTTGATGTGATGTTACTTGGTGATAAAAAGTGTATGAAAGTAATTAGAGTTTGATATATTAGATGGCATAATTAAATGCGATAACAGTTTTTATTTAGATTGGAAGTGGTTTGGTATAACACAACAGACGTGATAAGTGGCTGTTTGTGTTTTGTTTTACGAAATCACGTTTTTAATGTAATTTTCGTAGTTTTAATTTTTGTGATTTTTTTTGCAGAGGCGACAACGTAGAAGAAGCATTCCTCGAGACCGCCAAGAAAATCTACCAAAGCATCCAAGACGGTCGTTTAGACTTGAACGCCGCCGAATCAGGTGTCCAACATAAGCCTTCACAGCCTGGTCGTAATAATCTCAGCAATGACCAGCAAGCGAATAAAGATAATTGCGCTTGCTAGTTATTTAGCCCTAACGGGGGTCAAGATTTCAAAATTTTTTAAATCTGTCAACTTGTTAGGAATAATTTAATTTTACAATAATTTTGTGAGGTTTCACACACACTTTAGTCCAAAATAATTTATTATTCATACGGTTAACAATTATCGAGATTATTTTAAGTGAATAAAGCAAAAAGCACATTAAGAAAAATATGAAACTGAACGTTTATATCAAATGGATGTAGCTTTAGTATTTTTTTGTTACACTTACAACACAGTTTCAGTTTAAAATAACAATAATAGGAGTAAGAGGCGAAAACTTGTGGGAATTAGGTCACTTAGCCTGGCACGGTTATGTAATAAATATACGACAGAAGTGTTGTTAATGTAGATTAAAAAACAAAGATGTATTTCTAAGCAGTGTTGTCAAACATTTATGAACGAATGAAATTGTTCTTGATTCCGCTCCCTAGTGTGTAACAGCATAGGTCTTTTCTTTTTATAGCAAATAATTTTAATTTTTATACTGTATTTGGGGGGATAATATCGAGTTATTGTGGCTTAAGTCAAGTTTTTTTCCGACGGTTTGCTTCTCAATTAACGGTTAAAGGATTCCAAATTGTTGCAACTATTTTTTAGTGATGATGTATCTTTGTATGTGATGTATTTATTATTGAATCATATATATGAAAATAATATAGATTAAGTTGATGCATTTTTGTATTATTTTAATGTTATGTATTATTAATACACTTTATGTGATTTGTTACGATATTTTGCGTCCCCGAATAATACTTTTATGCTACAACTTTGATTTTATTTGTCTGTTATCCTTCTCGGGCGGAATCAAACAGGATTATTAAAACATAATTTATTGTTTAGGTACTTCACATGATCGGTTACATAGTGTTTATCAAAAATAAATACTCAAATTTATCATTTACACATCGGAATATAAAATGCACTTAAAATTAGAATAATTTAGAGACGAATTCCGCGATTCGTGGCAGCTACATAGTTGAGCAACTCCTCGGAGTCCTCGCAGACGACGGGCTTCTCGTGGTAGCAAGCAACGTCATGCCAGGCGATCCCGTCGTTGTAGACGTTGTTGAGGATGGAAAGACACGACTCGCTGGTGCCGTTGATGTCGAATTCGGCGTTGTCGGGCTGGCGCTGCTTCTTGTGCCCGGTGGAGGACCACGGGTTGTAGCCCCAGCCGCTGGGCGTCTGGTTGGTGGGCGCCATCTTCTCGCGGTTGGCGGACCAGAACCAGCCGTAGACGTTTTTGGGTTCCAAGTCGGCGCGGTTCTCGCAGCCCTTGAAGTCGCACAGTCTTCCCGAAGTCCAGATGTACGGGACGTCGTCTGAAACACGCCCTTCAGAGGAATTCTTCGGCTGTTTACCACTTACTTTGCTGGATGAGGCGGAAGATCATGTTGTTTTCTTCCTGTGTCTCTAGCGAGACCAAGTCCATGCAGTACTCTCTGCAGATGTTCCTGCCGTCCAACCAGTCGACTTTGCGGTTGGCTAGTTCAGGTACGTGACCACTGAAGAAGTAATTGTGGCCTCGGAAAAAGAACTGTTTCGGTCCTGAAAATTATCATTATTATTACAATCACGCGTGGTATTCATTACGGGTCATTTATTATTCATTAGAAGAAAGTCGGGAGATTTGGGTTAATTTTGGTGACAAAAACTCCACAATTAGGAAGAAAGTTCCCATTTAGGCAAATTAGTTGTAAGAAAAGAGACGGGATTCTCGTCTATAAATAACAAAAAGTATTACACAACAACGTGTTTAGGGGACATATCTTCCCATATAAAGAAAAACAACAATCATCATAAAATCGCTAATATTTATCTGACGAGATTTACAACTTAATAATCGTGAAAGTGTAATAAGAGTAGGTAATAAGCACAAAATACAGTTTTTCTCTAGTATAATAGTGATTGTAAATTACGTTTTGATGCTCAATGTCGACAAATATTATTAAACAAGCGTTTCATGTTAATTTTTATTAAGTGTAATTAACATAATTATGTATTTTTCTAACTTAAGTGTATTTAAGTGTCGTGATATCATCTGCTAATACCTTGTGAAAAAATGTGCAACCTTAATGCTAAATAAAAATTATGATGGTTTAGTGTAATTAAAATCAAGGTGATTGGTCAAAAGTCGGTGTCATTAACCGTCATCTTTGCCTGATTCCTTAAATTTTGATAAATCAGTTGTACTGTTGATTAAAATTATTAAGTAAAATGAACATCGAGTCTTTTCGTTAATAAAAAAAAGAAAAGAAACGCTTTTTGAGACAGTATTGTCTGTATAAAATGTCAAATATCTCTTGATGTTTTTTAATTATCGCTTCAATTAAATATTATAAAAATTCGGCCTTGAATAGGAGAATCCATGTACAGTTGGGGACAAAATACTTTGGTCGCCAATGTCACTTGAGTGACATTAAATTGTAAAGTATGCTTTTTAGCTACTGTCAATCATAGTTGACAAGTTGTATGTACAGTTGCAGAATTAAAATTTCGGGCAGTATTGTTATTTTCATAATGTAAACTCTAAAACAACCTTTACATTAATAACCTCATTTTTTACTCTTGTCATGTTTATATCATTTTGACTTATTTACTTTCAAAAACTGTGATTTGTGGCACAATAACGGGTAGGCAGCAGATCAAAGCGATGATTTAATTACACTTAGTTCAATTAATACATTCTCTAAGACATTTAATTAACAATTTTAACAATAAAAAAAGTTTAATTGTCAAATGCCAGTGATGACAGTAAAAGGTAGGTTACTTTTTAAAATGACAGAAAAATACTGCCCGAAATTTTAATTCCGCAACTGTACATATTTTTGATAGGAAAATATAATAGCTGTCATTAATTTGAAATTGTCATTTATTTTAACGTTAAAGCTTGAATTAAATTAAAAATTAAGGTGTCAGAAAAGTGACGACCAAACTATTTTGTCTCCAACTGTACCTAAATTAATTAATTATTGTTAAAAGATTAAAATATTTTATGTTAAAATATCGTAGGAAAACATCTTAAATCCCATTTATTTATTTAAAGCCGTTTTCAATGACATCCGAGCTGTCATGAATGTCATTTTTAATGCGTTGGTGCAGATTATACGAATATATTACGCACAAATTCATCCCCGGGTTCAGAGTATAAGCAACGCCTAGTTACAAAAATGTCAAACGATGTTGAGGTTATGGTGAAAGAAAATTTATATTTCTTGAAACGCCAACAAACAATAAACAATTCAACGCACAACAAACAATTCTTGGCAATAGCTTATTACAACTTTCCTTTCTCGCGCGGAGAGTAAAACCCTTGCAAGCAAATCCTTTTTTTTTATTATTTGTCAAAAATTATGGATAATTTTGAATTTGTCAATTTGCCACGTCAAGGTGAATAACCAAATTAAGAAATTCAAAATTATTGAACTGAAACAGCAAGTACTTTGACAGCATGGATGTCATTGAAAACGACAATATTTATTTTCTGGAATAAAAAAAACTATTTTTTTTTCATTTTCTTACTGATATATTACTGAAATGAAAATTTATTTAGGTATCTTTTAATTTTTATGCTTTGGGGCATTTTCATTCTTTTTTATTAAGGTATGGTTTCAATTTTTGTATATTTAAAAAATTGTGTAAAACACCACAATTTAAGTATTTTTCACACTTTTGAAGATAAATCTGTTGATTTTGGAAGACAATGCGTTTCTTTCAATACACAACTTCTTGCAGTAAATAAAAACCACCCACGTAATGATTGTATTACAATTTCATGAATAATTTCTTTAAATAAACCACGTCTGAGTGAGCAAAGTAGGTAAATAAGGGCAACAGGATGTTGTCAGACATATTTACATTAATTGCTCTCTCTTTGTGACTAATTATGTGACAATCTAATTGTTTTTTTATTAGAATAACCAAGTGATGTAAGAATATTGCTGCATATTCTTCATCAATTATACAATAATATTAATTAAATTAATTAATTAAGGAAAAATGCAAGTCGCTGCACTTCACTGTAGTGTGATAAGATTAAAACATGTGACATTTCAGTTATCTCTAATTTAAATTTTACAAAACCGCAATTATATAAGTTGAAAGTGATTATTCAAAATAAAAGAAAAAAATCATATTTGTTTGTATTCATTTTGAATTTAATTTAATATACCAGGTGAACAGAAAGAATGAAACAAAACGTTTATCTTTTAAAAAAAACTACTTGTGTATGAAGCACTATAAAAATGTGACGTTTCTCAAAAATAAAATTTTGTTTTTGAATTGCAACAACTATATTTCTTTACAAAGGCTATGGTCTAAGGATCAGCTATCTACATTTTATTCTACTTTTATTGAAAAGAAATCTCACAACTCAAAAACAAAATTTTTATTAATTATTATTTTCTGAAAGCAAATGATTAAAGAACGCTTTTTGTTCAGTTTGTATGTGATTGGTAATAACTGTTTTGAATTTGTAATGCTTGTAGTTTACGCACAAGCATTGTTTTCAAACTTGTGTTTCTTATCACGTGTGAATTTTTGTGTAGTTATAGGTGCAGTTTTCACTTATTGAGAAATAGTGTCTTTTGAATTTTGGTCACTTCTGTAACCTACAGTGAGAAAATGTTCAACGTTTACGTTTTAGTAAGAAATCACCGTTAAACTATGCAAATATTTGAAAATAATTATGTTGTGAAATTGTCGGGCTTTACCCGGAACCGAGTAACAGGAACAATTAAGATCTTCTCTTTTTTACATCATGAAATCAAATTTGTACAGGATGTGGGATTTTACAGCTTATCATGGTTGTCCGTATTTGTTGCTACTTATGTGTTTAGAGAAGGAAATTGTAAACCCACTTACTGTTGGCGCATTTCTGCGGATTTGGCAAGGACAAGAAGCGACCTGGTCTGTTGGAAACCGGCCTGATTTGGTTGATCGCAGGAGTGGCTACTGCTGCTGCACAAGCAGCTAATACTACTAAAGCTAATCTCATCTGAAACAAGAAAAATATTATTTATTCAGATTTATTTTTTCAATAACTCCTAACTAGCTATCGAACTTATGTTTAAAGTTTCATGAGAACTCTTAACACAACAGAAGAAAAACTATTAATTAATAACAATACCACAGAGACATATTCAAATGTAGTCAACAGAATAAAAAATGAAAATTATTGTGTTGAGCATTGAGTTGAAACTAATAAAAAAAATACTTACAACCTTGCAAAAAATATCATTGATAATGATTGATAATGTATTCAGTGTGTTTCCATTAGAAATACTCGTAAGAGTAAATATCAAAAATAGCTAGCTAATGTTCAATTTAAGATACCTTTATAACAAAAAATACCCTAGTTGTTTATTTTTTTTACTGTGTTTTTGTCTGCTATGTCTTTTTTGCTGTTTTTCGATTTCTTTTTCTTATTTGTGTTATAATTTATCAAAGAAAAATTTGTCGTAATAGAAGTCATTAAAGAAAGTTAAAAAATTGTTTATTTAAGTTTTAATAAATGGGTTTATTCGATCCAAGGATCATTGAAATTTTTAATAAGAAAGGATTACGAAACTGCTTTTTCTAGTAATGTTAAAGAATATTGCTTTCCTGATTAAAATTAGTGGTCCAACAGTATTAGAAACGAACTATTTTATCTAACTTCTATCGTCAAAACTTTTCTTTCTTTTTTCTTTTTTTGGTATTATTTTTAGTCGAAATAATAATTAGGTTTAAATTGCAAATACATATCGTAATCCAAATTTACTTAACGTTTAGAAATAACTGAGAATTTAACGGAATGAGAGTTTTTTATTGTTTAAATTTATCATTCTGACTAATTAAAAATTATTTTTTAATGAGAAATGTTTTATTTAAGATTTAAACTGTTTTGAAGTCCAACCTTTCTGTATTTTCTCTTTTCTCCTCTGTTATCATTTTTGATCGAAATAATAATTACGTTTTAATTGAAAATTTAAAACTAATTGAGAATTTCAAAAAAATGTTCTATTTAAAACTACACTACCCAAAAAATTAAAGGAAAAAAAAATTTTCCTAAATTTTTTGGTGATTTTTGAAAGGCTGTAACTCATCGAAAAATGGTTGTATCTAGATTAAAAAAAACATTTTGAAACTTTTAATTTCTAGTTTTGAGATCTTTTGGCAAATAGTTTTTCTGTACTGTCTGCTATGTCTTTTTTGTTGTTTTTCGATTTATTCTTCTTATTTGTGTTGTAAAACAAATTTTCTTCTATCATCATTTTTTCATTTATCAAAGAAAAATTTGTCGTAATAGAAGTCATTAAAGAAAGTAGCAAAATCGTTTATTTTAAGTTTTAATAACTGGGTTAATTTGACCCTATGGGCCATTGTAATTTTTAATAAGAAATGATTACGAAACTGCTTTTTCTAGTTAAAAAATATTGCTTTTCCTGATTAAAATTAGTGGTTGAACAGTATTATAAAAGAACTATTTTATCTAGCATCTGTCGTCAAAACTTTTCTTTATTTTTTCTTTTTTTTTTCGTATTATTTTTGGTCGAAATAATAATTAGGTTTTAATTAAGAATTTAAATTGCAAATATATCGTAATCCAAATTTAGTTAACTTTTAGAAATAATTGAAAATTTCAACAGGATGAGACAGTTTTTTATTGTTTAAATTTATTATTCTGATAAATTAAAAATTATTCTTTAATAAGAAATGTTTTATTTAAGATTTAAGCTGTTTTGAAGTCCAACTTTTTTGTATTTTCTTTTTTCTTCTCTGTTATCATTTTTGATCGAAATAATAATTACGTTTTAATTGAAAATTGAGAATTTCAAAAAAATGTTCTCTTTAAAATTAAACTACACTACCCAAAATAATTGAAGGAACAAAAAATTTTCCAAAATTTTTTGGTGATTTTTGAAAGGCTATAACTCATCGAAAAATGGTCGCATCTAGATTAAAAAAAAAACATTTTGAAACTTTAAATTTCTAGTCTTGAGATTTTTTGTCAAATATTTTTCTACGGTTATCACGCAATTCTAAGTAATAGAGCGAGAAAAAAATCTAATTTTTATGTTTTTGGTTTTGGTCCATTTTTTTTAGCCTTTCAAAAATCACCCAAAAAATTGGATTTTTTTTTGTTTCTTTAATTTTTTGGCGTAGTATATTTTGAAGTTCAACATTTTTTCAATGAATTAAGTGTTTAAAAAATGCAAAAACGCACTGGCTTTGTTTAAAATTCACTCGTAGTTTAGTTTGCATTTTTTACACTTTTAGAAAACGTTTAATTTTTAAACACCAATTTTTATTTGTTTGTAATAATCGTTTCTCAAACAACTAGGCATAAGTACAAAAATCATTCTAAAATTTTAAAAATGGGTGTTTTTCTTACAAGTACCGAAAATACAATTTCTTCGCTGTTTCCGGACAAGGCAATTGCCGAGTTTGGAATAGCAGATAAGTCAACAAAAACTTTTTTTGTTAAAATTCTCAAAAACACATTTATAGGTAATTGTGTTTTTCTATTTTTTTGTATACGCTTTCAAAAATAGCTATTTTACTGACATATTTTAGTCTTTTTCGGACTTTTTGTCTGAAAAATACCCATTTTAGAGAATATTTTGAGAAAATCCGAAAAAGACTCATTTTAGGGTCCAAAATGTGCAATTTTTGGGAGTGTGTTCAAAAAAAGTGATTTTCTTTTAGTAGATTCTAGGTTTCAGAAGAGTGGCTCAAATCCGAATCTAGTCCAGTTTCGTGGGCGTGTTAATTACATCATTAGTCCATAATGAAGAACTGATTAATAAAAAGTGAAAGTGTATTTTGAGCGATCGATTGGTCAACCCGAAACTGGATCAAAAACGGAATCCTCCTTAAAAAATTGCGCACGATTTGGTTGCGGGCACGATTCCTGCAATAATTCAACAGAAGTTCAGTGGGTCAAAAAAGGTCACGCAAATACACACATACACACACATGATGAAGATCTGATAAATGAGTTGCATTTTGAAAGATTTCTCTTTGCGACAATCTCATCTCATAGACGCCGATGAATCAAATTGCCCAACTCTTTGCAAAACAGTGTCAAGATGAAACCGGAGAAAGTGGAAGAGCAAACAACAACAGAATTTCGGCGGACACACCTCACTTTTCATGCTCTTGAGGTGCATCCATTATCTAACCTTCACCATTAGTGATATTTGCAAAGGATTTGGCACCGAATCGTTAATTTGAATGCTTTTTGGCGGAGAGGGAGTACAGGAAATGGAGTGGATGGACCAGTTCTCGCTTTTGGGTCGGTTTTATAAGAAATGGGAAAGTGGTGGTCATTAACACTTTATCAGAGGACATTAAAATTATCATGCATGCACAACAAAAGCTTCACCTTTCTCTATTTCAATTGGAAGGTTGAACCTTTTTGTTATTTTTGCTGAACGAAATGTGTTAATTAAAAAATGACATTCAATAATTCTAACGTAATAGAGCTAAATTCCAGATTGATAAAATCATCAGTGAAGAATCTTAAAATGTCAACGAGAATTTTGATGATTTTTTATTAGAGCACTGCCTCTTCAGACTTTTAGACAAATAATAATAAGTTAATTGAAAGGTTAAGATGAGTAGCAACTTATTTGCTAATAGCCATTTATCATGTGCTAAATTAGCATTTGTGAAAAGTTAAGAACAGCACTTTAGCTATTGTATCTCTTATATATTTTATTACGCAATAATTATTATTTAACGTTGTTATTTACACAATGTTTTCGGTTTATGATGCCGTTTTGGAAATTCATCCATGAATGTATTAGCTCATAAAATTTAATTGAAAATGTAATTTTTTCAACGCTAATGTCAAGTCTTGAAAAGGTTTTCAGGCGAAACTTTGGAAATTTTATTTAGTTTCAGGATGTGTTTTTTTGCTGGAATTTTTTTTCAATTATGATAATAAATATTTAAGTATGTTGTACCTATTTAAGATGTTATCTAACTCTACGCAATGTTCTTTTTCGTCGTTTCATCTTTGAAACGGATCTCACGTAGTGAAAACGTGTCAAGGTGTGCCTTATGTGATTCCTTATTATCTTAATAACATATTTTTTCCATTTAATTTATTTTCTCTTTTCGAAGGTATGCTACTTTACATATCAAGTTACTTCTAGTGCAATTATCTTGTCTATTTTCTTTCGCAAAACAGGAGAATTAACGAGAAAGTGAAAAAGTTAAAACAATGAAAATGCTTAAAAAAGTTCCATGTTTAAAAAGATTAACTTTCTTCACTAGTTTTTGCTGATACTAAGTAAAAATTCAACAGTTTTAACAATTTTTTTATTTTATTTTACTAATTAACAATTAATAAAATGAGGACTTAAATTCAAATTTCATTTTTTCATTTTCATTTTTACTAATTGTATTCTGTTTATTAACAATAGGACTTAAATTCAAATTTCATTTTGAAAAATGAATTATATTCCCCATATTTTACTTTGAAAATCCAGTACCCATTTTAAAACTTGGAACACTTACTCTAAAAAACTTATATATTTTTTTAAATTGTAAAATTTAACAGATCTCAATTTGAATGTCTTTTAAAAAAGAGAGTTTTTCAGAATTGAGTTCATAAAAAGTTGTTTAAGAATTAGTCTTGATGATGCCGTTTTTGTTGTCGAAACTGTGTCTGTTTTTTAAGCAAAAATTTTGGCCGTTTTTGAAATTTTAACTTACTTCAGAAATACAGAAAACTGCATTTGGTCCTTGAAAACATATTCACACATTTTTTGATTTAAAGAATTTGTGTTGCTAAATCTTCGTTGAAGTAAAAAAAAAAACGACGATTATAATATTTTTTTAAATTTTATTACGAACATATCAAGAATAAATAATAAATGGTACAGAGTAAAATATTTAAATATCTTCTACTTATTCTTCTTATTATGCATTTTATTAATTGTATTAGAAAGTAATTTTAAGAAAAATAAATTGATTTGTTGGCATATAACAAAGTATTCCACAAATCAATTTTAGAAAAAATTGAACTTTTTAATTTTGATTTAGGCTAAACAAATTTATTTCGTCACAAATAAGTTAAAAGCAGACGTGTCAGAAAATTTAGGTGAGTAAACTAGTTCCAAGGTATTTAGCTCAAGATCAAAATTCCTATTCCATTTATTTTGAAAACATTTTCTCATTCAGTGTTACGAGAATTTTTTGTGTGTTTACATAAAGTTATCAATCACTTTGACATTGTTGTGTTTACATACAGTGGAGCAAACCACAAACAAGCTTTTTTACTGACATCTACACTACTGGTTTAAATAATATTTCATGTAAAAAAGAAAACCACATTTATTAATTGAGTCGTAAATGTAATCGAATATTTCAAAATTCACAAGTGAATCAAAACTTTACACTTTTAACTTTTGTAAAAGCACCGTAATTAGCAATTATCGTGGGTTGTAAGTATAGGTCAGTAATGTTGTAATACGTCTTTTTTACATAACAGTAATGTTCAAGACAAAAGTTTTCTGTATTGTCTGGAAGCAGTCGTGCCACAACAATTAAACTAAATAAAGTTAATTCGAGTTTAATTCCAGTTTCAGTTATTCCTGAAACTTGTTTTTTTATGCAAAAAATTAATTAGTTCCGTGACCATCCTATTATAAAGCTATTTTTGTAATTTTGTGCGATGACCTTAAGAGTTGCCTTGAAGTATTATTGGATGGAAAAATGCAGCAAAATATTTTTCGGTTTCAAGACCAAATGGCATATGTATTAACAAAATTTTCTATTTTATGATTTTTTGTTTTCCTAGTAATTTTTCTCCAGTTTTTGGGAATGTGACTCACCTTTTTCGATCCACCAAAATCTCTTTCGAAAAAATCAACACTCGCACATACACACGATCCTTACCTTCTTTCAGTAAAACACTAAACCTCCGTGGAATAAGTGAGAGTCTCATTTATATCTCTTCTCGCGTTTTTAAGGTGGGATTTCTCTCTCGTTATCCCCATATGAAACCGAAATTTTTTCTTCTCTCTTCTCGTGAGCTCACACAAGGTGAAGCCGATCGTCGATTTTTCACTCATTTTGCTCCTAATCTAATTTGCACGTTGTTGGTGAAAAAAAATTTTAACCTTTCGGGAGCTTCAAGGATTGGAGATGCGCGTGATTGTTTTTTCAAAATTCTGGTCAATGTCGTTCACGAAAATGACCAAAAGGACCCCGCTAACCCCTAGTGGGCTCATTTCCTAATCGGTTAGAGAATGTGTAATTTTGAAAAGGTAGGAACGAGTTTTCGGTTTTGGGAAGGAGTCGTAAATTTTTTTACTCGTTTGAATTTTAAATATTGTACAATTATGTAAGTGTTGACTCGTGACATTTTCGTAATCCGCTTCTGATTGTGTCGTGCACCGAACAGGAATTTCTGTGGATGCGGTAGAGAAGCATATTTGCATACAATTGAAGCAATTTTGACTATGTTACACAGAAATTACTAATTGTTGGTGCTTTTCAATGTTGTGATCAAATTTAATCATTTAATCATTTGCTCTTCTAGCTTTTGGTTGTATATTTGACCGATTTTTAAAGTGTTTTTTGAGAGAAATGAGAATTTATGATAAAAATAGATGTTTGTTATAAGTACCTAAAATACAGTTTTTATAGCACACGAGTACGTGTTACAAACAACATTTTTTGTGAAAGCTCTCAAAAACACATTCAAATCATGCATAATATGTCAATGATTAATTTCTCTAAAATATAGAGGTTAAAAATAAAAAATAGTACCTAAGATAACTATTTTACGTACTATGCTTTATTGAGTCTGAAAAAACCTCATTTTAGCGTTTTAAATGAGTCCGTAAAACAGCTATTTTGTCTAAAAAATGTTATTATTTCAGAAATATATTTTTTTTAAGGAAAAAGAAGATACAGTAACGTTGTTTTCAAATAATTAATATTTTTAAACAAAATTTTACTAAACACAAGCAACATTATCATTATCTCTGTGTTTATATTGTTACACTTATTAAAATGATTCATTTTTGTTTAATTTTAAATGTATTTTTCTTACTACCCTAACAAAAGTTTCGCTCTAATTTCAGAAAAGAAAGTGATCAATTATCTCCCAGGGAGGTAAAAATTGTACCTCCTACACCTGTCAAAATTACAATAAAAATATAACCTCTCAGGGAAGTAGAATTTTTACCTCATGCTACTAAAATGACCAAAACGGTCAAACGGACAAAAAATTTCAAATTTATATACAGGCTGCGCCAGAACTCGCACCTCAGAGAAAAATGCCATATACAGTAAGACACCAGGAACATTGAAAAAATGTAAAAAAAATTATCTATAATAATTTGGAAGTTATGAGAGTTTAAATTTTGCACTTTGACTCTATTTATTTCCATTGGAAAAATAATTTTTCAATGTTTTTTGCTACAGGCTATTATAAGAGGAAATAAGGAAGCTCTATCTCAAATTGTAACTCTGTTCAATGATATTTATGGCTTTTATTGACAAAATGTTTGTACTTTTACTAAATAATTGTAAAAAAACATACAAGATTATCAGTATCATTAAATAGACATAAAAAAATGTCAAATGTCAAAAAATAAATGTCAAATTTTTTTGACAAATAGAATTTTTTAAACATTTTTTTTTCATGTTCCTGGTAACTTATCTTACTGGAAATTTTTCTCTGGAGCGCGAGTTCTGGCGCACCCTGTATGCTGCTAAGATCATCAAAAAGTTATGATATTATTTTCAGAATTTTTAAATAACGATTTATTTTTTTATTCAATCTAGTTCAACCTTAATGGCAAAATTGAGATATCAAAAGAAATTGTTGGTTTTGAAGTTTTTTTCCGGATTGTAGGAAAAATAATATGAAACACACTCCAGGAAAGTGTCGTTTTCTCCAGTAACTTCCACCTGTGGGAGGAAAAGATACACTTTTCTCTCTTGTAACATATATAATTTTTCCTACGATCCATCAGCAAGAAAAACTTTAAACCTAACAATTTTTCTTGATATCCCAGTTTTGCTATTAAATTTAGCAGCATGTTTTTCCATTTCTATGGGGGAGGAAAATTTTTTTACCTCCCATGTATATTCATGTATTTTTATTGTAGTTTTGATAGATGAGGGAGGAAAATTTTTATTTCCCAGAGAGGGTGGAAAAACTTACTTTCTGTTAGAGTCGTAGGAAAATAACTATTAATTTAAAAAAAAAAAATGTAAAAATAACACTAGGGAAAAGAGAAACGAGAGAGTAAAGCATATTCAAAATGATCTATAGTTTCAACTTTAGGTAATTTTTTTTTATTAGTAAATAAATAGAACTGTAATAAGCAATTGGAAAATCGTTTTATTTTTTAACAACTAAAGCAAAGAACTGAGAGAAATTATTGACTATTTTTTAACTACATGAAAAAAATGAATTTTTTAAACATTTTTTTCATGTTCCTGGTATCTTACCTCACATGCCATTTTTCTCGGCGCACACTGTATTTTTTTCTACTTTCCGAGATTCTCAAAATACTACTAAAAAAATTAAAAAAAAATACAGTTGTGATAACACTAGAAAAAATACTACAAAAACAAATATAAACATTTGATTTTAAGCATTATATGTATTACATCAGAATAGTTGTTCTCACAGCAAATAAGTAAATAACAACAACATTATAATCTTGTAATCAAAATGTGAATATTTTTAATTTATTTTTTACGAAACGAATTTTTCTCATGGGCTTTGTTTAAAAACGTAGTAAAAGTACAGTTTAACAATGTAAGCAAACAAGAAATTTTGTGTTGATTTCTTTATTAGACTTTATAAATTTATACAATGTGTTGCACGACACAATAAACAAATAAATTAAATAATTTCCTCTTTCAACTGTTGTTACCTGTCTCTTACCAAATACCTAATTCAAAAAATATGAATTTATTTTTGTTGGTTGTGACCATGTTCCTGAGTCTTATTACAATAGGGGATAATAATAAATCAAAATCTTTCTCAGGCTTTTTTCTTTTATTGGGAACTTTTTTTTTGACCGGTTTCGACTAGGCCATCTGGTTCTACTTCCCAATAAAAGAAAAAAGCCCGAGAAAGATTTTGATTTATTATTATCCCCTATGAATTTATTTTGTTTATATTTTGCCAAAACTTATTTTTTGCAGTAAAAAGCAGTTTTTATTTTTAACACTTCTCACAGTTTTTGAAATAAATAGATAAATAGGTAAATTTTGCCTGATATTAAGAAACAAAACGAAAAATTTATACATTGTAACCAATAAAAAGTTTATAAAATTGCCTTTGAGGGCATTTCTTGGCAAATCTGTGTTGTTCAAATAAAAATGAAATGCACTGAACTTTAATCACCGTTTCCGATAGTTCAATAATTTAATTTGCATATCAAATCCACGAAACGAGTAGAAAAATAACCCAAAACACGCACTTCGTGTCTCATAAATCTCCCTTCCTTCTTGCAACTCGCTCGGGTGGCAGTTTGGTTGCAGTAATGCATTTATCGGTCGATAATTACAATAAGATGGTCACGATTGTTGGCCTTTGGAAGGCCATATTCTCGTCGTTAGATGACCCACTTCTTTGGGTGTTTGCGCAACGGTGAAAAAGATGCACCACGTTGGAATAGTGTGCTTCACGCTTTGATGTAGCTCGTTAAATGTCCATTATATTAGTTGCTTTCAATTACTCCATACATGAGGAAAAATTATCATTTTCTGATAAAAATTCAGATGTTGTTGCAACATCTTTGTGTTGGGGATGGATGTGTCTTTCGGGCCACGGCCGCGGAGACTTCAACATGCGAGCAAGCGACGAAACTGAAACTGAAATTCTAAAGTGACTTGACATTTTCCAAATATTTAAATACTGAAAAATAATACGTAACAGTAATCTGCATAAAAATCAAGTAGCGTTTCCTCATCTGAGAAATTTTAATTTTTAAGTGTTATCTCTCACAGAGATCGATTTTTTCTTGAATACCAACCTTGAAAAAATGTCTGAGTAGTATTTGAATTCATTTCAAAATATGTGAGTCTTCCGTTCTCTCATCGACAATGTCATAATCCAATCAGCACTTTTACATATAAGAAAAATGTCAAATAATAAATAATTTCGCTCAAGCGGATCTCGCTGGTCAAGGTGAAGATGTTCAAATGGCAAAGAAAATTGTGTTTTTTCGACAGTAACATTATTATCATGCAATTGAGTAGTGCCACCACGATTTGCATCTTATTATTACACAACGATTATTGTCGAAGTTTATGTTTTAATACACGTATTGACATTAGATGAAGAGGCATGATGTCATGGGCGTGCGTGCCGGCGGGGGCACACGTGATCGGATAAACGCACCTAATCATAATTACAATATTAGAGACTCTTGTTACCGCTTGCGTGAAAAAAACGAAGAGATTCCTTGAATCTGACCTGACGTCAACTTTGGATGATGAATTTGGCCTTGGAATGGAAGAAAATCGAAAAATGAAGAAATTTGAGACCCATGTCAAAAATGTGGAGGTTGTGAGGGGCAGACATGAATTTTAAAAATAACAACAGGTTTTAGTGCATTTTTCAAATAGGGCAAAAAAGTTTTTTTATCTCAAACTATAGACAGAGTCTTTTTTGCCTTCTTTTAGGACCACTAAATTTAAGTGAATACAAAAACTTTTTATTTATTCAAGTTTTGAGCTTTTGCAATCGCATTTTGCCACATGAAACAATATTGTTTATAGGAAAATACTTCTCATACTTTTGCGTTAAAAAATGCACAATCATGGTAGGAAAGGTCATGTAACAAGAATTTATGATCCAAGACGACCTAATTTACGTATTCTAAAAAACTTAACGTAAAATTTTTCGTGAATTTCGATTGTTCATTTAATTTTATAAACATATTTGATAACATCATTTTCGGTTATACCGGATGTCCGTCTCAATATTCTTATT